CACACATTGTACCCGTGTGGGGATTCGAACCCGGGTCTTCGGCGTGACTAGCCAACGCTTTAACCATTAGACTACCCCACCGCCCGGGAGTCCTATGGGATGCAGGAAAACGAACATTTACAGTTTTTAGAACCAGTGATCATAATTAAATTTTAGCCATCGTAAGTAGCATCCACATACAAATCTATCTGTGTCCTGTTTTCTTTATCCCGCGATTAAATATAATTCTTAGGGCAGCAATTTTATTCCCTGTGTTTCTCATCTCCGTACCCATCCTTCTAAATGTATTGCCATTATTCAGATAATTTTGTCTTTTGACCCATGTTCAGAATTTGGTGGTTACGTAAAACACCTAAAAAATAATGCCCTAACAAAGAAATCCACATGCCTAGAATGGCTTCAGCTGCAGTTTGTTGACACAGCGGTGAATCTGGGCTGCCTATTGTCCTACCCGTCTCCTAAGTGGTGAATCTGGGCTGCCTATTGTCCTACCCGTCTCCTAAGCGGTGAATCTGGGTTGCCTATTGTCCTACCCGTCTCCTAAGCGGTGAATCTGGGCTGCCTATTGTCCTACCCGAACAAATAGCTAAACAGCCTTCAACAGTGCGAATGTTACAGGGGTTAAAACCTATCTGCTACCTAAAGAACGTATATACTTCCTGGATAACCTAACTGCTACCTGAACAACCTAACTGCTACCTGAACAACCTATCGGCTACCTGAGAACCTATCTGCTACCTGCAGAACCTATCTGCTAACAGGAGAAACTATCTGCTACCTGAAGAACGTATGTGCTACCTGGAGAACCTATCTGCTACCTGAAGAACCTATCGGCTAACTGGAGAAACTATCTGCTACCCGAAGAACCTATCTTCTAACATCAGAACCTATGTGCTACCTCAAGAACACACCTGCTACCTGAAGAAGCTATCTGCTACCCGGATAACCTATCTGCTACCTGAACAACCTATATGCTACCCGGAGAAACTATCTGCTACCTGGATAACCTATCTGCTACCCGAAGAACCTATCTGATACCCGGAGAACCTATTTGCTACCCGGAGAACATATCTGCTACCTTGAGAACCTACCTGCTACCTGAAGAACCTATCTGATACCCGGAGAAACTATCTGCTACCTGGATAACCTATCTGCTACCCGAAGAACCTATCTGATACCCGGAGAACCTATCTGATACCCGGAAAACATATCTGCTACCTGGAGAACCTACCTGCTACCCGGACCACCTATCTGTTAACAGGAGAACCTATCTGCTAACAGGAGAACCTATGTGCTACCTCAAGAACACACCTGCTACCTGAAGAACCTATCTGCTACCTGGAGAAACTATCTGCTACCTGGAGGAACTATCTGCTACCTGGATAACCTATCTGCTACCTGGATAACCTATCTGCTACCTGAAGAACCTATCTGCTAACAGGAGAACCTATCTGCTACCTGGATAACCAACTGCTAACAGAAGAACCTAACTGCTACCTGGATAACCTATCTGCTACCTGAAGAACCTATCTGCTACCCGGAGAACATATCTGCTACCTGGAGAACCTACCTGCTACCCGAAGCGGCTTCCTGGAGAACCTATCTGCTACCTATAGAACCTATCGGCTCATTGAGAACCTACCTGCTACCTGAAGAACCTATCGGCTTCCTGGAGAACCTTTCTGCTACCTGAAGAACCTATCGGCTCATTGAGAAACTATCTGCTACCCGGAGAACATATCTGTTACCTGGAAAACCTATCGACTCCCTGGTAAAACTATCGGCTACCTGAGACCCTATCTTCTATTTCACAATCGTCTACTGATGCTTGCACCCGTTCTGTGGGTGTTGCTGCAACATCAGTATATTCCACAACGTACTTGGTGTAGCAACAACCCCGCAATTTTGTAATTGACTATAATATATATAGTTGGAAGCAATTCTGTCAAAATAAACTACCGGGCAAAGAGAGTGAACACTTTTAAAGTAACTGCATAAATCTCACACGCACGCACGCTCGCACGCGCGCGCACGCACACACACACACACACACACACACACACACACACACACGCCGGTACAGGTTTGTCCCAAGCAGATAACATTCACCAAAACGCAACATGGTCCCGATAACATCGCAGCTGTCCGAACACTCCTTACGAATCGTGCATTTTTCGAAACGTGAAAACGTGCATGATTGTGGCATTAATACCGATGTTGAAGAGAGCAAGCATGCAGTAACCAAAAATCCACCACGAATGCCCAGTCTTCCACAAGCGCAACGAGACAGGGCGATCGGTATGGCCAGTATGGGTCTTTACAACATTGGCTGACAAGAACCTTCAACTCCAGTCAGGCCACCATCAGCAAATTGATAAACCGCTACTAGCAAACAGGCCAGACCCAAGCCCGCCCAAGATCGGGAAGACCAAGTCTTAAAGTCACGACACCGGCCGAAGACCACTACTTCCGGCAGATCCACCCCCCGAACAGATTCGTGACGGAGACGTCAACGGCGGGGACAGCACTAGGAAACGCCATCAGCAGACGAGAAGTCCTTCGACTACTTGGTATGGTTGGTATACGAGCCTACCGCCCGTTCCGTAGAATGGCCTTGACCCGTCTACACCGTCAACACAGACTGAAACGGACACGAGGCGGCAGCGACGTGACTGGGAGAAAGTGTTCTTTACAGATGAAAGTCGGTTCATTTGGTTCAGAAACGATGACCGAGTTGGAGTTTTTCGACGTAGAGGAGAGCGAAGGGCGTCAAACTTCTTTCATGAAGATCATCCGTTCGATGGAGGAGGCATCATTGTATCGGGCGGCATTTGTGTCTAAAGAACAGCGAGGCTGGGCATCAACGGAGGAAATCTGAATGCTTAACGATATGGGGGTGAAGTGTTGATACGTTTTGTGATGCCCTTTATTCGACAACAGCCAAGAGGAGTAATTTTTCAGCACGACAACGCAAGGCCTCACACCGCCAGAATTGTACGAGAATACCCGTACAACGTTAACGTCAACGTATTGCTTTGGACAAACTGTTCTCCAGACATGAACCTCATTGAACAGCACTGGGATCATCTTGATCGTCGGCTGAGACAGCGTGTACCACCTCCAGCGAACCGACTGGAACTTGAACAGACTCTCTTGGACTTATGGAACATGATTCCTGCTGATGTCATCCTCCGACTGATGACGTCAATGACGAGATGTGTTTGGGCGTGTATGGATGTCCAGGGTTGACAAACTCACTATTGATGACATGTCCCCCGATGCCTACCTCATTATGTGACTCTTTATTCACTTTTTGAATAAACTCAGATTTGTGTAATGTTATAATTTGAACCCCTTGACTGTTTCTTAATGAATTGCGGCAAATGCAAGACCAGCATTACAATGAATTTTCAGTCAAATTAATCTAAAATAATTGTGTTTGTAAAATAAGTATCATAAATCTCACATACGTCTTTGTTTCTATTTTTTGGTGAAGTGAACTCGGTGATAACGTTCGTTTGCCCAATAGTTCAGATAATTTTACGTCTAACGCTTAAATGTCGGTTGCTTGGGACGTACTCATTTTACCCTCACCTTTAGGTCTGTTAAAAAATGGACGTGTTGCGACTTGGGTCTGCAGTATATTAGGTTATTCATAAAAAGACTGTCCCCAAAGTCGTGATACAGATTATATTGAAACAAACAGCATTGCCCATACACGATATCGTGTTTCTTAATTACGTAGCATGATGCATCATATGCAAAAACAATATTTGATAATCATTCATACGATCCGAGGTCTTTATTCCATTCCCTTGATCCACACAACCCAAGTGTTTGAAAGTGATTGTATCATCAATCCAAACATTGATCCCTTCAATACAGGGTGTCGTTCACACAACAAGTATCCGGGCTCCCAGGCCAGAAATCCATCCATTCCATCGATGATATCTTCCAGCTTAGCTAGAGCGGTGTTTCTGCTGTAAACTAGATCAGCATCTGTCGGTTTGATTTCGGTAATAGCTACTGGCGAGATGTGGCTCATAAATTCACCCATCTAAGCGGAGGATAAATTTGATTGACCAAATTGATTTTGATTCGGTGTCATGTGTGATGGGTGAAATATAAGCGGTAATATCCACTCCACATCCAACTTACCAGCGCTTTGGGAGATGAAATCAAGCTCAAATTACAGGCCCTATCAGCGCTTGGGTGTCTGCAGATGACCTGGTATGAAAAACGTAAATCAACAGATTATTAATAGCGGGGAATCGATGCCAGAGTGGGGAGGGTTTCTACTCATATTGATAGCATTACACTGATTTTGGATGGAACATACCTGCTTGAATCGCAGCCAAGAGCTGCAAGATTGCTAAATCCATAATCAATAATCACAGATTTACTCATTATCTTCTTATAACACATAATACCCTACAACCTCAGTTTTAACCAGGCGTGCGCCCCCATGGATTTTCCAGGGAAAATAGTGTTCCAATACCCAGTGTCTGGCGTTCGGAAGCAATGTCACCGCGACGGTTGCTCATGCTATCAACCACTGGTCTGCCTAGTTCAGATTCGATATATACATGCCGCCATGCTGAATGTGCTACAAAAAACATTCACTAAAAATCTCTGATGCAAATCTGCATCCCACTTTACTTCTTGTTGCAAAGTGTATGGGTCCTGACTCATGAACATGCCTTATATCCCCAGAGTTCAACGACGAATACTTATGTTAAGCCAATCCAATGATCAACAGCATGAGCACCCATTACGTACATCGATGGTCACGTTGTTGATCACTGAATTGTCTCGTTACTTCCATCTCCATAGGTCGGTATATTTAATGTTGACAAAAAGAATCCGTGGTAAACATTCAATTAAAGTGCAAGCAAAATTTTTATCGGTGCTCCTTATGTGTCGAATAAGGATACAATCAACATATTTTGTCGGTCCTCTTTTGAGTTAAGAGACCTTCCCATTTCAATTATTCCGGCAAGTCATCTGAACAGTGTAACTAAATTTTCGCACCAGTGTAATTCTATATTGGCTCCTAACAATACATAGTTAATATTAGTTCACGTGACTTCTCGTAACGTCCACCACTTTTTATATTGTACCTGAACTAACAGTTGAACTAACTGCAATAAGTTCCGCCAATAACTGGCTGAAGTACATCTTGTGGTGAATAAAAGGTATTCCTCTTTAATAAATACATTTAGAACGTAAGTGCAAAGGAATGCCCAGTGTTTACTATCCTCAGAAACAAATTCCGTTTTGTGTAAATGAAACTTTAGCTATGAAAACTGTATGAGTTGATCTATGAAAACTGTATGAGTTGATCTATGAAAACTGTATGAATTGATCTATGAAAACTGTATGAATTGATCTATGAAAACTGTATGAGTTGATCTATGAAAACTGTATGAGTTGATCTATGAAAACTGTATGAATTGATCTATGAAAACTGTATGAGTTGATCTATGAAAACTGTATGAATTGATCTATGAAAACTGTATGAGTTGATCTATGAAAACTGTATGAATTGATCTATGAAAACTGTATGAGTTGATCTATGAAAACTGTATGAATTGATCTATGAAAACTGTATGAATTGATCTATGAAAACTGTATGAGTTGATCTATGAAAACTGTATGAATTGATCTATGAAAACTGTATGAGTTGATCTATGAAAACTGTATGAATTGATCTATGAAAACTGTATGAGTTGATCTATGAAAACTGTATGAATTGATCTATGAAAACTGTATGAGTTGATCTATGAAAACTGTATGAATTGATCTATGAAAACTGTATGAGTTGATCTATGAAAACTGTATGAGTTGATCTATGAAAATCAGTGACGGCATTATTAGTTTCACGAAACAATGTCCCACATTGTCATCATACTCTTTAACACAAACAACCCATGATATGATCTAAGGTTCATTTGTAGTGCTGGTTGTAGTTTATAATCAAGGAGACGGATATGACCATGTCTGGAAGGAAGACGTCTCAGTCTGACAAACTGACGTCAACATGGCGTGGCTCAGCTCCTGGCGCTGGCGAACTAGATTTAGGCTCTCCAGTTGGGTTACATTGTTTCCCCGGTGGCCAGGTCTGCCATTATTTTCAAACTTGACACTCAGCTCGGGGGCTCCCGTTTGTGGTGTAAATACAACTTGTAAACATGTTATTGTCTTTGTGATAGATCACATTTTTTGGTTGGAGAGAGAGAGAGAGAGAGAGAGAGAGAGAGAGAGAGAGAGAGAGAGAGAGAGAGAGAGAGAGAGAGAGAGAGAGAGAGAGAGAGAGAGAGAGAGAGAGAGAGAGAGACAGACAGACAGAGAGAGAGAGAGAGAGAGAGAGAGAGAGACAGACAGACAGACAGAGAGAGAGAGAGAGAGAGAGAGAGAGAGAGACAGACAGAGAGAGAGAGAGAGAGAGAGAGAGAGAGAGAGAGGAAAGACAGACAGACAGAGAAAGAAAGAGGTGGGTACAGACAGAGTGTGTGTGTGGGTGTGTGTGGGGGGGGGGGGGTTCAGGTGTGTCTTCTTGTGTGTTTGTTCTTTTTGTACATAGTAATAACGTAATAAGGTGGAATAATGTTTGCCAACAGATATAGTATGTGTACAATATGCGTAATCTCATTTCAGTAACATGCACAATCTGAATAAGGAGAAACACAATTGGAATCAACTCACTCTGTCCAAACCAGTTGCCATTCCAAACTACAGCTGCCCGACATATAGTTTCTCAGGAAACTTTTCACCAAACCAAATCCAGAACATACGTAAACAGTGTCATTCATGTAACGTCCATATGTTTGTAGAAACTATATAAACTAGCATGCGTCTCCGGGGCGCTTGTAAATCTACACTAAGGCCTTGAACTATTCCCGTGGGTCTCGCGATCTTAAATTAACCGCCCTAGTTTTTCTTTGACATTTTACCAATTGTTGTTTTTCTTTGACATTTTACCATTTGTTGGTTAACGCCCCATTCAGCAAAACGTCAGCCAATTGACGTTATGGCGGCTGTTTGTATATAATGTGGACCTGGCAGTTCTGTGATGTTCATTAGGAGCATCGATACACGTATTTTGGGATATGATGACATGCATCAACTAAGATAGGAGTCCTTGTTAATGTCGTCTGCTATGAACTCTGCTCGGCGCGTGTTACAGCGTAGCTATGGGGTTTATGGGTAATTCCCGGGTATAAGCGAGTGAGCATGTATACAAGGTGACATGACGGATAAAGAGCGTATGTGAATGAATACAGTGTTGGTTATCATGGAGATGAATTAACAGTCCTGTCCACCCAATCCCCGTCAGTCGCCACTTACGACAGAATTCAGGCCGACCATACAAACGGTAAACAAATCATGCTCGGCGACCGCCCTCGCGCGCTCTTGTAGCTGATACATGAGGTTTGTTTCCATGTCAAACGATTACTCTTCCATTACAGATGTATTGTTTCGGTTTTAGAGGATATTGGTACAGTTTGGGAAGTATATTTTTTGTTTGGGTGATTTTTGTTCTGTTTTGGTGTATATGAGTTCAGTTTTGATGATTTGTTTACCGTTTGCATGGTAGGCCTGGAGTTGCCTTTTAAGACATACCCGGGTTGCTTAAGTCCAGTTCAAGCCCGGATCTTCACGGATCAATTACCGACTAATTGCACGTCGAGATAAGGAAAGTGAAATGACTAAGGGAGGTGAACATGACGACATCCTTTTCTTCCATCAAAAATATTCTGAGGCTTCTCGAATCAATCATTACCATTCCGAAGGATGCAGTTCCAACGATCATAATAAATTAGTCAGTTTCAGTTTCAGATACAACATATGTTGCCAACATGCACTATCAAGATGAATATGAGCTCAATGTTTGACTAATCTGAGAAGAACACTTGATGCACAACCATCTGATATTGTGAACGCAAAATTGATAAAAGTTCTCCTCCTCCCACACTGTCCCCGCGAAGATCCGGGTTGGAATTGATCTTCAGTAACCCATGCTTGTCGTAAGAGGGTAACCGGATCGGGTTGTCAGGCTCGCTGGCTTGGTTAATTGATGCATTTCATCGTATACCAATTGCGTAAATCGATGCTCTTGATGGCAATCACTGGTTTGTCTGGGCCAGATTCGATTTTTTACAGACTTCTGGAGTATTGCTGAGTCCTACAAAAAATCTTACGACGTGTATCATCACCTGTGAGGCTCACGGGAATACGGTTCTCCAACGGCTCTCAAAAATGACACGTGCTCTAACCTACTTGGTTAATATAACAACACTCTAATACAATCATCTATCCAACGTAACTGCTGAATACTACATACACTTTAAATATGTGGTCCAATAAGTCGTCACAAGCTCTCCTGTGTGAGTGAGTGAGTTTAGTTTTACGCTTTTAGCAATATTCCAGCGTTATCACGGCGGGAGACACCAGGATGGGCTTCACACAGTGTACCCATGTGGGGAATCGAACCCGTGTCTTCGGCGTGACGAGCGAACGCTTTAACCACTAGGCTACCCCACCGCTCTAGCTCTCCTGAAGTTACATTTAGTGTAATTCCCCTAATGATATAATAATAATAAATGGATATGTCTTGTGCGACATAGTCCATCCTGAGCATGCTCAAAGCGATACAGAGAAAAGAGTCACTAGAGTTCATGAGGAAAATATGACAGTTCGTCAAAAATGACCATGAGAATATTTGGCAGTTATAGGTTGTAGAATGTTTTTGAAGAAGGAGGTTTTGAATGCCGATTTGAATGCTTCTAAGGATGAAGCATTTTTTTATGGGAAAAGGAAGACGGTTCCACAGGGTTGGTGCTGCAAATCTGAATGATCTATGGCCAAAGTGTTTGGGATGAACTTGGGGAACTGAGAGAAGATCTTGATTCTGGGAGCGGAGAGAGTGAGTGAGTGAGTTTAGTTTTTACGCCGCAATCAGTAATTTCCAGCTATATAGAGGCGGTCTGTAAATAATCGAGTCTGGACCAGACAATCCAGTGATGAACAGCATGAGCATCCATCTGCGCAATTGGGAACCGATGACATGTATCAACCAAGTCAGATAGCCTGACCATCCGATCCCGTTAGTCGCCTCTTACGACAAGCCTGGGTTACTGATCAATATTCTAACCCGGACCTTCACGGGTGGAGCGGAGAGAAAGGGCAGGCATATATATATATATATATATGTATGTATGTATGTATGTATGTATGTATGTATGTATGTATGTATGTATGTATGTATGTATGTATGTATGTATGTATGTATGTATGTATGTATGTATGTGTATGTATGTATGTATGTATGTATGTATGTATGTATGTATGTATGTATGTATGTATGTATGTATGTATGTATGTATGTATGTATGTATGTATGTATGTATGTATGTATGTATGTATGTATATGTATGTATGTATGTATGTATGTATGTATGTATGTATGTATGTATGTATGTATGTATGTATGTATGTATGTATATATATATATATATATATATGTATATATCAGAGAGGTATGAAGGAGCTAGGCCGTGCATGCAGCGGAAAACAAGAGTGAGGATCTTAAACTGAATTCTGGGTTCAACCGGCAGCCAATATTGATTGAATACAGTATTTCCACATGTTGCATTCAGAAAATGGTATCAACATTAGGTCAAGTATTATTTGAATGGCTTTAAAGTTGAGACAACCTCACGAACATATATCTCCAATGGCTCTCAAAAAAGAAACTTACTTGTTGAAAATAACAACACTCTAATACAAAAATCGCACCAACGATCTATCCAACGTAACTGCTGAATACAGAATAGCGTAACTTTAAATGTGTAGTCCAGTAATTTCACGGAAGAATCTTCCTTCAAGTCGTAACAAGCTCTCCTGAGTGTGTGAGTTTAGTTTTACGCCGCTTTTAGCAATATTTCAGCCTTATCATGGCGGGGAGACCAGAATGGGCTTCACACAATGTACCCAGGTGGGGAATCGAACCGTGTCTTCGGCGTGTCGAGAAAAACGCTTTAACCACTGGGCTTCCCCACCACTAAGCTCTCCTAAAGTTGCATTTAGTGTAATTCCCCTAATATTGATTGAATACAGTATTTCCACATGTTGCATTCAGAAAAAGGTATCAACATTAGGTCAAGTAATATTCGAATGGCTTTAAAGCTAAGAAAACCCCACGAACAAATCAAATTCTCACTTTTAGTTCATGCTGAACAGTTTTCGCGAATAACAGAAAATATCTTGTCACTAATAAGAGACAACAGCCAGCGATTCCATCGTCATCCCCTGGTATTATGCGATTCTCCCACTCAGATCATCCAATGCCTCTCATTTAACACGATCACGTGGCAGGGGTGTTTTTTTTACAAGACCTCTCGGTACATCTGCACGTATGCCCTGCAGAATACTGTCAAGTAGTATCGGCATAGCATCCCACTTAATTTTCAGTCCTGCATGTGTCATAATCCAATCCAGTTTCAACACCTTCACTTTTCAGTGGCTGTGTGAGGTTAACTTTAGTCAGAAGGTTTGACAATACCTACGGACCGCCGCTAAATAGTTAACCGGGTTGTTTAACATCGGCAAGATGGCGTTGATCATTCAACCGAATGCTGCGTTCATGGTGCCGTTAAAGAACCAAGGACAAGAGAAAGTTTATAGAGCTTACGATTTAAACATTCTAGGCTATTCGGACAGTGAACTGCGTCTGCGTTACAGGTTTGGAAGGAGGTCTATCGAGTATTTGGTGGATACTTTAAGAGACGATCTTAAAAGACCAACAAATGGCGGACACGCACTTACAGTTGAGCAACAAGTTTTAATTGCCTTGCGATTTTATGCGAGTGGGAGTGCTCTCCAAGTGGTTGGGGATACCTTGGGTGTGGACAAGAGTCTTATAGAGAGTAGGGCGTAAGAAGTGACAAAAGTGTGAATGAATGAATGAATGAATGAATGAATGAATGAATGAATATGGCGGTATTTTACCATTGACTTAGATTTAAGCAAAAACAACCATATATATCAATACGTGATAATAGAAATAAATGCCAAGAAATACAACATGGCTTCACTGTACATTTATAAAATGTCCGTGTGTTTTCTGAATAAAGTACCCTTCAAATGACGTTGTAAAACACATTTTATTGGCACTGAACATGACTGAAGCAAGGCAACAACAAACAGTGTTTGTAATCAGAGTCTATACTATACACTTCGACTACATGACAAGCATAATGCGTCTTTTAATCACTATCAAATAGTGACGATACTTGGTGCTGCACCGGTCGCCGTGACACTGTTGTGACCATGATCACAGGTAACCTAATTTGAGGAACAGTCACATGACGCTCCTTGAAATCTTCGTAGAAAGAGTATGCTGGATTGTATCTGTAAAACGTTGAAATGCAGTCACCAAAGGCTGGAGGTGATAGAATATTGTTTGATATAAAGTGGTAGGTTTCTGCATGTCGTCAATTTCACAAACTCTCTTTGTGTTGTCCAATGATAGTCTTAAATATACATACCCACATCACATGTCTCACACCATCTGAATATTTTTTTAAAATATGACGTCAATATTCAACTTTATAAAAATGAGCTTCTGTGGCAAACACTCGTACAGATCTAACGGAAACGCGTGGTAAAATACATTTCAAAGGGATATGCTACTTGAACTACATCACAGAAACTCCAGGATTGTTGTTAATCCATATATAAAAAAGAGCACACGAACGGTTGTTTGTTGTTTAACGCCGCACTCAGCAGTATTCCAGCTATATAGCTGCGGTCTGTATATAATCCAGTCTGGACCAGACAATCCAGTGATCAACAGCAAGGCCATAATGGAAAGTGTGAAGCAAGAGTCAGCAAGTTTGACTACCCGATCCAGTTAGTCGCCGCGTGTGTGTGTGTTTGTGTGTGTGTCTTAGAGAACATATTTTACTGGATTAACTAATTTCTAATCTATATTCATAAATAAATATATAAGGATTCCAGATACATTCTTTATTTCCTGAAACTGTGGTAATCTGGACCTACCTATTTTAGACTTTCATGGGCTGAATTCGGTATATTTGTTTCATGATCTGTGTGGCTGACTATAGTCCGGCCAAGTACCATCCTACCGAGGCACGGCTACGGGTCTCACCGCGATAGGAATACAAGGACATAGCTAATGTGCCTATTTGGTACATTACCAGAGCGCCCCTCCCCGAGTCCATATGCCTATAATGGGATCCAGCTGAAGGATTGCACTATTAACGGGGGATGAGATGTCATTGAAACCATAGAATGGGCACACGACGGTGGGACGTAACTGGGGTCATTGACCAGCTATGAAGGATTCCGCTATTAACGGGGGGTTGAGATGTCACTGAGCCTGAAGAATGAGTCCACGAGGGTGGGAC